GTTGTTTTTTTTTTTTTCCCAATGAGCTATTTCACATTGCTTTCTATTTTTTTTTTATCTTTTGGTTTTGTTTTATAATGTCTTGATTTCTCATAGAGTCATTAGCTTCCATTTGTTCAATTCTAATTTTTGAGAAATTATTTTCTTCAATTAGCTTATGGACCTCCTTTTGCATTTGGCCAATTCTGCTTTTTAAGGCATTCTTCTCCTCATTGGCTTTTTATACCTCTTTTGCTATTTGGGTTATTTGGGTTAGTCTATTTTTTTAAATTTTTTTTAGGCAATTGGGGTTAAGGGACTTGCCCAGGGTCACACAGCTAGTAAATGTCAAGTGTTTGGTCTGAGGCCAGATTTGAACTCAGATCCTCCTGACTCCAAGGCTGGTGCTCTATCCACTGCCCCACCTAGCTGCCCCCAGTTAGTCTATTTTTTAAGGTGTTATTTGCTTCAGTATTTAATGAGTGTCCTTTAGCAAGTTGACTCATTTTTCATGATTTTCTTGTATCACTCTTATTTCTCTTCCCAGTAATTGTGAGAATGATTCCTTCTCCATGGCCATCACAAGATCCCCCATGCCAGCACTCCTCCTCACCCCAAGATTGCCACCCAACATTGAGACCCAGATCCAAGCATAGGCCAAGAAAGAGAATTCTGCCTCAGTGCCATCAGAGATCCCTCTAATCCCCCGCTTATCTACCATCTTTGTACTAAGAGCTCTGTAAGCAGCTGCTGCCAGTGTGGCCAATGCCCCAAGCCTGTACTAGTATCAGGGCTGAACCCTGCTTCTCTCTCACACAGGTCCTACATACCTTTCCCACTGACCTTCTTAGTTGTCTCTGGCATTTGTGGGTTGCAAAGTCTCAAAACTGCCACAGCTGTCCATGATTCAGTCCCCTGAGTCTTGTTTCAGGTTGGTTGGGGCCCCATCTTTGCCTGTGCAGCCCATGCTGAACTGTACTCCTCTCCCAACCCTGAGTGGGTAACAGAACTTTCCCATCAACCATCCAGGTTGTCTTGAGCTAGAGATTTTTTTCACTCTGTTTTTTTTTTTGTGGGTTCTGCTGCTCTAGAATTTTTTAAGAGTAATTTTTACAGGTATTTGGAGAGGTTTGGGGGAGAGCTCAAGCAAGCCAATGCTTTCACTCCACTATCCTGGCTCCACCCCCTAGACCAATGATTTTTAAATTATTTCTCCAGGATCTATTTTCCAGGTGAGTTGTTTTACCAATGAGGCATTTTGCCTTTTCTTCTGGTTTTTTTTTTCATTCTTTTGTTTCTATGACTGCTTTTTTTTCTTGATATCTTATAGAGTCATTACCTTCCACCTGCTCAGTTCTGATTTTTAACCAAATGTTTTCTTCTATTAGATTTTGTACCTCCTTTTCCATCTGGTCCATTTTACTTTTTAAGGAGTTCTTCTCTTCAGTGAGTGTTTGTGCCTTCTTTTCCATTCAGCAAATTCTACTTTTTAAGGACTTATTTTATATAGTCAATTTTTGTTCTTCCTTTTCCAAGCTATTGACTCTCTCTTGCATACCCCTCATTTCTTTTCCCAATTTTTCTTCTTCCTCTCTTATTTGACTTTTAAAATCCTTCTTGAGTTCTTCTAAGAAGACTTTTTAAATTTTTTGTGCTTGAGACCAGTTCATATTCCCCTTTGAGATTTTGGGTGTGTGTATATTGAAAATGTGGTCCTCTTCTGAATTTGTGCCTTGATCTTCCCTGTCCCCACAATAAAAACCTATGGTCATTGTCCATTTCTGCTTTTTGCTCATGATGTTTGCCTAATTCCTGGCTTTTAGAGTTGAGCTCTACTGCTAAAGCACAGTGAGCATTGACTGAAGCTTTTTGTGCTAGGAGCCCGGCACCTGGTCACTGGCTTTTTGCACTGGGGCCTCAGGTGTGGCGGCTGGCGATTGTAGGAGTCCGGCAGCTTACCAAGTGCTTAGCTGGGGTCAGCGGCACCGAAGCTCTCAGGATAGCGGTAGAGAGTCAGGCCCCTGGGGGATGCCTGCTCACCCTGGCCTTTCATTTGAATGTTTGGTTGCTCAAGGATACCTGCTGTCCTAGAGCTGTACCTCCTTGAGTTGTATTTCCTGGAGTTTTGCTGAAGTACTTGGAGATTTGGCTGCTAGAGCAAACTGACACACATGGTGGTTTTCTAGCTGGTGTCTACCAGGTTACCCTGCCTAAGCTGAGGCACTTGGGGGGTCCTGGTCCTGGTGCTTGCCTGCTCCACCACTCTGGGGCTCAGGATCTCCCTCTGGTTTGCTGAGGTGGGGCTTGCTGCTGGCTTGCTGGGACACCTCCTGTTCTGTACTGCTCACCCTCCCCTAGAGCAAGAGGGGCCTTTCCAGTTAATCCTCCAAGCTTCCTAGGTTACAAAACTGCTGCACCCCTTCTTCCTACTGGCTCAGCTGTTCTAGGGTTTTTTCTGGGGCAATATCTTCTGGGTTTTCAGAGGTCAACAATGGAGAGGGAGAGTGACTTACTTCTTACCCCACCATCTTGGCTCCTTGGCTTCCTTCTTAATTGCCAAGGTTAATTGCTTCAAGTTGGAGTGGGCCTCTACTTGCTCTGGGAAACAGGCTCCGTTCTCCATCAGTTCTTTCATACTTGAATACTCCAAGCGGCATGCCTTTTGGAGAGGCCCAACTCCAGTAGTCATAGACTGTTCTGTTTATCTTGTCCATAGATCCACTTTTCCTTTCTTTTTCTGCCCACTTGGTATGTAATTGACTGTAATTTACTCATGATTTAGTGATTAAGAAAAATTTGTTATATTTTCCAAATCTTTATGGAAAGATTCTTGTGGGACTCTAGGCTACAGTACTTTCTGCTATTTTTCCCATTAAGCTTCACACACTCCTCATACAAATGCTTTTTTCTTTATGTTCAGCTGAGTTTTCTATTTGATAACCTGCCACATTTTCTTGGTCCAGAGTTTGTTAAACTAAGATCTCATTCTGCTTCTTGTTTTTTACTCAGATGATCAGTTCAGAATGGCTTTTGCATTTTCAAATAATATTTTATTTCATTAAAAATAAAAAAAAGAAGGGCAGCTAGGTGGTACAGTGGATAGAACACCAACCCTGGAGTCAGGAGGACCTGAGTTCAAATCCAGCTTCAGACACATAACACTCACTTGCTGTATGACTCTGGGCAAGTCATTTAACCCTAATTGCCTCACAAAAAATAAATTAATTAAAAAGAAATTATTAGCTTAATGCCATAAAAATAATAGAGGATCAGATTTTGTCCATAGCTCCGTGTTCAGACTCATGTACTTATAGTTTTCTATTGCCTGCTTCAGACTGAGATTAAATCATTTTATTCTCTCCCAACCTTTCTCTTGAGAGCAATTGACCAATCAGCATTTATAAGTCATATATTATGTGGAAACAATGGTACGTCATTATCCAATTTGTCTGTAGCTAATTTTATGATCAAAATGAAGTTGGTGCTAAGTAACTAATTCAGTCAGGGTCACAACATTGGATTATCATAATACTATAAGATAATAATTTACAAGGTAAATACCATGATGAAAAGGGTAAGATTTTTTAAAATTGACATTACTAGATATGAACATGTTATAATAAAGACCTATGAAGGAAAATCAGTGAAAAGATCGTCATTCATTAAATGCATTGGTAAAATACGATGTGGCTGGATCACATGGTAAGAGCAGTGATAACTGATGAAGTGCTAGTTTGGTCCACTGGCACTTTTGTGATGTTGGGAGAAATTAGGAAATAGCTGCAGGAGAAGGAGTGGTCGCCCAGTGGGAAACTGATGGGAAGAGACAAGAGTGCCTGAGGATGGGCAGGCATATCAAGGTTATGATTACGATTTATTGAGTGAAATGCCAAACTGAGGAGACCATTGATTTATTAGAGCGAGTCTAGCCTTACTGTCAGCATAAGGCTTGGTACATTATCAGGACTTGATGAATGTTCATTACACATAAATTATTTAACCTTGATGTTAGCCTAGAAAATATAGAGTCTGAGTGGACCCTAATTAAAGTCTGGCAGTTGTGGTATAACACACTTCCACCTGCTACAATCCTTAGTTATTTGTAAGAGGATTACCCTAATGAGCCCGTTTTCCACTAATGGGTAATAGACGGACTTGTGAGGAATGGCATTTGTTAACCTAAAAACATTACTGAGAGTTGTATTTTCATAATTATTATTCATTCGTTCCCCTTTTGTTTAGCGTGTACTTCCAATGACCAAATCACTGAGGTTAATGTTATCAATGTGAAAAAGATGTAAAACTCATCTCAGTTTGGGGACTTGTAGACCTAGGCCTCATCTCTATCATTCACACTTTCTGGCCTTGTCATGTCTCATTGTCCTCTGACTGATGCAACATCTGGTAATTTTGAGCCACTGCAGAGATTTGACATGGGGAGAAAGGAAGTAGCACTCTGGAAGGCCCAAGACACCTAGTTTGTCAGAGATCAGAGGTTCCTATGGGCATCTCAGAACCCATGGAAGGTGTGAAGGCCCCAGGGACTTGAGATATGGAAGGAGATTCCCAAACAAGTTGTTTTTTCACTTGAATGTATAAAGTTTTCAAGATGAAGGATGCAGGTGCAAAATTGCTGGGTTGGACAGTCCCCAGATACCCTCATTCTCAGACTCTAATCAACATATTTGTTCAACTTGTGTTCAAGTTACACCAAAGAGATATGAACATGCCCCTCATTTACTAATCAACCCACAGGGAACAAAGTAGTAATATCCAGAGGGCAAAAAGTTTCCATAAATATGCCCTGGTCTTTCTAGCTTTTGCCTCTGTCCTAAGTGGAGGCCTGCTTCATGTCTCATATTTTGCATTTCCAAATGAGAGGGACTGTTCAAGTTTGAGCATCTCTTAGAAAAGAAAAATTTTTAGCAACAGGGAATGTGCTATGGATGCATGAACAACAATCACGCAGGCACCTTAAACTACCCTACTTCTTGGCTCTTAAGTGGTCTGGTTTGTTAGCCATGGACTTAGAGAAACTGGGACTCTCTTTCTCTCAGTTATTTGTGGTCCTGCTTTTGCAGGTTTTTCTCTTTGTGTATGTGATGGTGAAGAGTCCTTATCATATAGAAAGAGATTACAGTCCCACATATAGAAAAGAAGGGGACCTAGTCATAGGGGGCTTCTTCTCCTTGTTTCTGAAGATAGAAGAAAAAACGTACAAGGAATCATTCAGATATTTTCCTATCTGGAATGGTGCAGAACCAAAGTAAGTGTGTGTGTGTGTGTGTGTGTGTGTGTGTGTGTGTGTGTTTTATTGATGAAAAAGTCATCTATATTTCTGACTGACTAGTTTGTTGGTACAGTTGTGTTTTATTCATCCCAACTTTGGTTAAAGCACAGACCTGGGTTTGACAATTTCTAGAAACCTAGTACTCAGGAAACTGATAAATTAAAGGTTTCATTAATGTTCAGTGCAGCAAGCAGAAAAATAGAGATTATCCATACACATCCTACATGGCATCATAAACAGTCAGAAATTCATCCTATGCAGCGTGTGCTCCGTTCCAGTCAACCTCCTCTTTGGGACCCCCTCGAGGCAGGGACGGCTCTATGCCCCTTGCCAGCAGGAAGCAGTTTCAGAAGCTGAGATCTTCACCCCTTACCCCAAAAGAATTTGGTTCCCATTTGTTTGAGGGGGGAATGATGGAGTTGTGATCTGGACCCCAGAAAGGAAAAACCCTGGACTTTCCCACATGATCAAATCTCTGGCATTCCCCTGAGGCTATAATCCCATCAACTGGCCTTTCACTGTGGACCTCCCTATGGCCCCAGGCCATTCCTCCGTTCTCCCTTGGCCCTGTGGTCCAGGTCCCTGGAATTCCATTACCTCATAGACTACTTGGCCACTCCTAGATCCCTCCCATAGTCTTTCTGGATATAAGGCCCATCTTGTCTCTATTATGATGCTCTGATTCTTAGAATCTAGCCACTGCGCAGATTTTCACAATCTAGCCAATAGCCCACAGATCTTCAGATTCCTTAAAAGTCTAGCTAATATGGCAAATATTCAATAAACCTTGTTTTTGGCTGAAAAAAAAAAAGAAAGAAATTCATCCTAACAGATTAAAAAAAAAAACAACTCACCCAGTACAATGGTGAAAGAGACACATCAGGGAGGAAATACATTCACAGTTAGAGTTCAGGTGGCAAAACTATATTCCCTAAGATTGGGCTTGGTTGAGAACTAGTTATTGGTGCCAAATATGGGAGGAAATATTCCCTATCAGACCCATATGTGACAAAGGAGTTCATGAGGTCACTTATCAATGCTGGGCTTGAGTGCAGTTTGGGTAGAATGAGTTTCTGCACTTTTATAATACCAAGTGGGGGAAGAATTTAATGTTAACTATTTTATGCACTAGAAAAGATCAAAAAAAAAAAATCAGAATGCTTCAGTCAGTCCAGGGTTTCATCCAATCCAAACTTTCAAGCCTAATATGCCTGAGAGTGAGTTACCAGGGAAAAAGAACAAAATCTCTATCTTTGCCTATAAACTTTGATGGGCTTTAGAACCACTTGATTTAAGTGACTCCTTATTGGAGTTCTAACATTATAACTGTAAAATTAAAATATGTCTAAAACACCAATCAATATAAAGTTTACAGTGAACACAAGTGCCATGACTATCAGACCACTGGGAAGGTTCATTAATTGCACTGAGTTTTCAATCCTTTTATGTCTACATAATATAAACTGTAGGACAATTTCACTCAAATGAACAATTAGAACCCCATGTGCAGGCCATGAGTCAGGGATGAACAAGTGAAAAATGACCTGGCATCAAGAATTGTTTTATTTACTATCATTGCAATGTTGTGTATATTTGAGGTGATTATTTGTGCACATAATTCCTCTTCTGAGTAATAAAAGTGCTCCTTTTGAATGTTCAGAGACTGGGATTAAATGCTATCCTTTCAATCCTCATTTTAATCCCCAGTCCTTTCCCTCTCCTTCCCTTCCTTTTCCCTTCCCTTTCCTTCCATCTCTTAACTCTCTGAAGGTTTTGAAATTTTAGGAGGCGACATAGTGCTAGGACCTGGTTTTGGAATTGTTGTTAAGAAGTCATTACAATGAGGTCAGTGAGAATGGCATTGGGCTCTCTTCTAGGCTATATCCTAATCCATATGTGAAGTGCACAATATTTCTAATTCTCCTTGTGGACAAGACTTCCTTTCACTGCTTCTTGTGTCTTCATGCCTGGCATATAGTAGGTGCTTAGTAAGTATTGATTCAATGATTCTCTGGTTCTCAGATATTTGGTTTCCAGGAGAGGAAAACCGTTTCCTCACCTGAGTAAGACATGAGGATGGACATCAGGGCCAATAAATATCTGCTAAAATTCTCTATTTTAATAATCTTCCTGCTTAACTCAGGTAGTTATTACATCAAGACAGAGATGAGTACTTTACCTGGAATCCTTCAGTGTTACACATTACATTTTCTTGAAAGTCCTACTTTTGAAATATATGTATTCCGTTTCCACCCCCAACATAGAATCTGAAAATCACTATGATAATCTAGAACCTATATTATCAATTTATTTGTCTATTCCTAGCAAATATTTTTTGCATGGTCAAGGAGACCATTGCTCATTTCTCCAGAATGCAAATTCAGAACTAGAAACTACTTTTTCTGTTTCCACAAGATACAAAATCAGACTGCTTGGTTTGTTCAGTTCCATTTCAAGACTAGATATATTCTAATGTACAAAGCACATCATCATTTCTTTTTGTTCCTGTGTGTGTTCTTGAAAGTATTTTAAAGGATGTTTAGTCCAAGTTACTCATTTTACAGATGTGAATGCTGACACTCATAGTGGTGAAATGATTTTCCCCAGGGTCACCCTGTTAGTAAATATTAGGGGCAAGATTTTAGACAAGAGTTCCTGACTCCATGCCCAACACTCCATTCTCTCTGATACTTCACTTTTTCTGTCCATATAGAGTTTTTCCTGATTCTTTACTTTTTCCCTCTCACTTTAGGTCAGTGATCAAACATTACCAACATTTGCTTGCTCTCCAGTTTGCTGTCGATGAGATCAACAAGAACTCCCATTTGCTGCCCAATGTGACCTTGGGATACCAGTTGCTCAATAACTTCTATCAGGACAAACTAGCTGTGGAGAGCTCTTTGATGTGGCTGTCAGGGAGGGGTCTGACTATCCCTAACTATAGCTGTGGCAGGAAGCACAATTCAGTGGCTGTCATTGGAGGGATGTCATCTACACTGTCCATGTCCATGGCCACCATTCTCCAACTTTATAAAGTTCCACAGGTAAGGGATCACAATACTGTGACTCATTTTCATCCAATATGTTCTTTGCATTTAAAACAGCAAATCCTTTATAGTCGGTTCTCATGCAGTATAAGTGAATCAATAAACAATTATCAAGTAGCTGGGCACTGTATTGACAGCAATAGATATAACAAAGTGGGGGGGGGGGGGAAACAGTCCCTTCCATCAGGGAACTCGCTCTGTCCTCTAGATGAGGTGGTACTATATTGGTTTAACTCTGATGGTTTTGAACCAAGTAAAAATCTGTCCAGCTAAAAGTCACTATACTCCTAGGTCATTTTAATATTTGTGTAGAACTTTGAAGACTTTAGATAGAATAAAGATTTCTCTTTTCCTCACCTCAGAAATTTCCCAAGAAAGGGCTTTGTTCCTTTTCATTTTGAAATTGACTTGGGTATTTTCCCTAAAAGGATGAAGCTCTAGTATATGCCTTCAGCGTCTGGGCTAACAAACAGCATCCAATTCTGTATTTAGAGCTATCTTCCAACTTGGGCTGAGAATTTTCCTCCTTCCTGAATATGGGCCTGATTAGCCCAATACACGATGTATCCCTTCACATCAGAAGCAGCTTCCATATTCAATTCAAGTTATTTTTAAGAGATAAGTTTTTTATCAAACGCCTAATGTGTATTTTCTAACTGGATACTCACAGAACATTACGATGAACCAGATGCAGCCTCTGTGTGATCCAATCAGGGAGGGAACAGGACAACGTAAGAAAAGTAAGAGTTGTTTAAGCGCAAAGTCAGGAAGGCATTTTCTTTGCTGTTTAGCAACCAATCCTTTCCTGAGCAGAGACGATTAATACGTGCATCAGAGAAGACAGAAATTATGTACTTCATGGAATTTCTGACAGTAAAATCATTGATACGTCTGTGCCACAGCTTACTTATGCTCTCTGTTTTTTTCTACATTATCCTTTAGACTTCTCACAATTTACATTTTTCAAAGATCGTTGATCCATGATTATATTTGTTCTCACAGTATTCTACAAATATTAGTTTACAAAAAGATCTTTTATTTTTTTTCAGGGAGCAACTGGGATCCATGAAATTCTTTAGTAATTACTCAAATGTGATCCAGTACAATTGAAATCAAAACACATTTATGAAATAGAGTGTTATATGTTGTGCGCTGTACTAGAAGCTTGGATTTGAGATAAATGGAATTTCAAAAACATAAAATCACCCTTAGACCTTTATTAGTTTTTATTGTCCTTTTGGCTCACAATGTGTACACTAAATTGCATTCACAAAATATTCTAATATTCGTCTGTACATCTATCTGCCTCTCCATCTCTGCATTTATTTAATACAATGAAATTTTGAAGGAATCTCTGACAATTATTTTACAGCCTGTACAGATTGCCACTTGAGTTGGGTCCTGCATGACCTTAGGGATTTCAGGAGGTAGAGGTGAGAAATCAGGAAAGAAAACTTATTCTAAGACACAGAAGCAGAAGGTGAAATTTTCTTTCCACACGACATAGAATCCAATTCACCTCACATGTTGAGTATTTCCATTCAAGAGATTAATTGTTGTAGTTGAGTTGTTTTAGTCATGTACCAATTTCATTGACCCCCTTTAGTGTCTCATTTTTTATTAATTAATTTCATTATTTTTAGTTTTCAACATTCACTTCCACAAGATTTGGAGTTCCAAATGTTCTCCCCATCTCTTCCTTCCCCCCGCCCAAGACAGCATGCATTATGAATACCCCTTCCCCCAATCTGCCCTCCCTTCTCCCAACCCCGCTTCCCTTATTCCCTTCTCCTATTTTCCTGTTGAGCAGGATAGATTTCTATACCCCTTTGCCTACATATCTCGTTTCCAAGTTGCATGTAAAAAAAATTAATACCTGTTTTTAAAACTTTGAGTTCCAAATTTTCTCCCTTCCTCCCTCCCCACCCACCCTAATTGAGAATGCAAGAAACTCAATATAGGTTATACATGTGTAGTCATGCGAAATACTTCCATAAGTCATGTTGTAAAAGACTAACTATATTTCGCTCCATCCTATCCTGCCCCCCATTTTTTCTATTCTCTCCTTTGGCCCTGTCCCTCCTCAAAAGTGTTTTCTTCTGATTAACCCCTTCCCCAATCTGCTCTCCCTTCTACCATGCCCCCCTCTCTTATTCTCTTCCCCCCTAGTGTCCAGTAGGGCAAGATAGATTTCCATACCCAATTGAATGTGTATGTTATTCCCTCCTTAAGTCATATCCAATAAGAGTAAGATTCATTCATTTCCCTTTAGATATGTAAGTTAGTAAGTCCCTAATGATTTTTCTTTCCTGTTTACCTTTTCATGCTTCACTTGAATCATGTATTTGAAAGTCAAATTTTCAATTCATCTCTGGTTTTTTCATCAAGAATTCTTGAAAATCCTCTATTTCATTGAATATTATTTTTTCTCCTGAAGGACTATATTCAATTTTTCTGGGTAGGTGATTCTTTCTTTTAATCCTAGCTCTTTTGACCTCCAGAATATCATATCCCAAGCCCTCCAGTCCCTTAATATAAAAGTTGCTAAATCTTGCATTGTCCTGAGTGCGTTTCCACAATACTTGAAATGTTTCTTTCTGGCTGCTTGCAAAATTTTCTCCTTGATCTGGGAATTCTGGAATTTGACTATAATATTCCTAGGAATTTTCCTTTTGCAAACTCTTTCATGAGGTTATCAGTGGATTCTTTCCATTTCTATTTTTCCTCTGGTTCTAGAATATCAGAGGAGTAAGATATTCTTCTTCTCATTGGCCATTTGGGTTAGCCTATTTTAAGGTGTTATTTTCTTCAGTATTTATTTGGGTCTCCTTTAGCAAGCTGTTGACTTGTTTTTCATGATTTTCTTGCATCACTCTCATTTCTCTTCCCAGTTTTTCCTCTACTTTTCGTACTTGCTCTTCAAAATACTTTTTGAGCTCACCCATGGCCAGAAAGACAAATTCATATTTTTCTTTGGATGCAGAAGCTTTGACTTTGTTGTCTTCTTCTGGTTGTATGTTTTGATATTCTTTGTTATCAAATTAACATTCTATAGTCTGAATTTTTTTCCTGCTGTTTGTTCATGTTCCCAGCCAATTCCTTGACCTTTTTAGCTCTTTGTTAAGATAGGGCTCTGCTTCCAGTGTGGAGGATGTACCTGCCCAAGCTTCAGTGGTTTTATGCAGCTGTTTTCAGAGATTTGGAATTGATTGTATTACATGGTAGACACTGGCACAGGATAGCTTAGCATGGCATGCCTACATCAGAGAAAGTGCTGTGCTCAATGAGCAAAGCAGAATTGAAACAGCTCAGAAGTGCGAGATGCACAAATTTAGAAGATCCACTCCAAATGTTGACTCAGACTATTTGTTCCCAACCTGTGATAGAACATTCCAAGTTTGTATTTGTTTGATCAGCCACAGATGGACACACAGAAACATGATTCTAGCATAGAGATGTCATTTTGGTGATCTTCCAACCAGCCAATTTTGGACTGGTAGTCACTGACAAAATCTATCAAGTGTGGCTTGACTTTGTATTATTTCTGTTGCTAGGATTTTATTTTGTTGCTGTCCTTTTTTTTTCAGCCAAAGACAGGTTTATAGAACATCTGTCATATTGGTCAGACTCTTAAGGAGTCTGAACATTAGTAAGCTATTGGTTAGATGTTAAGAATCAAAGCATTTGGTTAGATTATAAGAATCTCAGCAGTGGCTAGATTATAAGAATCTGAGCACCTTAATGGAGATAAGATGGACCTTATATACAAAAAGACTATGAGAGAGATCTAGGAGTGTCCACGTAGTTTGGGGTGACTGAAGGAGGTGTCTAAAGAGGATCTGTATGGAAGTGGTCTGTAAGCTGGGATGAATCATAGCCTCAAGGGAACACCAGAGACTTGGCCATGTGGAAAAGTCCAGGGCTTCTCCCTTCTGGAGTCTAGATCCCATTCTCATCATTTTCCCCTCCAACAAATGGGAACCAAATTCTTTTGGGGTAAGGGGCAAAGGTCTTGGCTTCTGAAACTGCTTCCTGCTGGCAAGGGGCATAGAGCTGTCCCTGCCTCAAGGGGTCCCAAGAGGAGGTTGACTGGAACCAAGCACAGGCTGTATCCAGGGAATGATGGGAGGACATTAGCTGTACCCTCTGTTTGCTATCAACTGTAGGTGAATGACCTGTAGTCTGGAAGAGACAAATCTGACAGAAAAGACTGCAAGGCCCAGATATGTCAAGATAAAACACCCTTGGCACAGTTTGGATTCAGATAATTCAGTTGTCCAACTATGTGGTATCTAATCCACCTCATAGCCAGACTCAGGAATAACCAGGTGGGTAGCATTCCTTTTCAAAGGAACATAATGGGGAAACTGAGCCAGGGATCCCATCTTAGATTGAGGCTAAAATTGTCCTCTCAGCTTTTTCCAGTGCTGACTTCCCACCAGTATCACATTCTCCGAGTAGCTTGTGACATTTCTCTCAGATGGTGGATTATTGATTATTGATGGATTATGACCCATCAGACAACTCAGCAAAATCCTATGAGCTTCTACCTCCAACAGCAGTTTCATTAATCACAGTTTGGGAAAAAACTTTTTTTTCCAGGATTTACATCTCAAATTTAAATTTGTCCTGTCCATTAAGTAGAGATTTCTATACACTTGCAAATTCTCAGCAAGCTATACCCCGAACAAGCTTGTTGACAAGTTTACACATTAAAACAAAAACCAATAATAGCCCAATTATTTTAGTCATAACCAAATTATGAAAAGTTGCTTGACATAACTGATACAAAAAGTTCACCAATTTGAAACTTGAAATGAACTTATTACCAATCAGGTGACTTCAGTTTTGTTAAAGGCATTTCCAAATTACTTTACACAGAGAATCAACATCTGATCATTAACAATGAAAACTATAACTTTAAGAAGAGCTTGCTTACCCAAGTTCAGAGGCTACCTTCTTTACCTTAAGCAGGATGTGCTGAAACTGGGTGATGCTTTCAGGCAAAGGTTGCCCTAGGGCCCAAGGCCATTGCCAGTGAAACTTATGCTGTAGCTGCTGCCCCTCCCCCTTCCTTCCTTTCCCAGGTAGGGGAGGGTAAAACCAAAGGTGAGGGTAAAAGGGTGAAACTCTCTTCTCCTATGAGAGGGGTTAACAAATACCCGTTTGACTCAAGTGAAGGGAGTGGGGAAAAAAACGTGACCAGGATTGTAAGAAGGAGTTCCAAACTCCATAATAATCAATCACAAAACCTCCAGAACCTGCCAAGATACTTTAGCTGTTCTAACTTTCCCCTGTAACCTCCATGAAGGAAAATTCAGAGGTGCAGAGGGAAGAGAGTAAGTAAGCCTCAGGGAACCAAAAAGCAACTGCAGTTTTCCCCAATTCTCTAGCACTGAGAGAACTAACAGAATTGGGCGTACACTTCCAGATAGGATGTCCGTCCTTATCCTCTATGCTGCAGAAGGTGTACCCAAGTCCATGGCCTTGAACTGACCCAGTGGACCCAGAACCTGAGAGAATCAGCCTGAGTGTAAGACAGCCTCATAATCGTCTGCCTGAAAAGCACCTCCAAGCCTTGGTGCTTAGAGAGTGACCCCAACTGCAGAGCAGGGGGTGGGGTAGGCTTACATACCTTCCAGTCTTGGCTGGAGAAGAACTTGGGGTTAGGCAGTTTCCCTGTACAGGCCACCAAAATGTTGAGGTTTAGAGGTTTAGGGATGCTGGGACCCCAAAATCACAACACGTGGGTCCTGCCCAAAAGAATTTGACCCAAGCCTTCTTTCAGCCAAAAACAGTTTTTAGAACATCTGTCATATTGACCAGACTCTTAAGGAGTCTGAACATTAGTAACCTATCGTCTAGACTTTAAGAATCTAAGAATTGGCTAGATTATAAGAATCTGGGCCTGTTGTTCTTCTTATACACTCATTTCCTCCATTTAATGTTATTTCTCATAAACATCTGATGCTATTTGTGTCTTCTGTTACACAGTGTCCCCTTGTTTGCAGAATAAGTTATCAGATCATCTCAGGAACCCACACAGGAGAAGAGATAATCTATTGTTTTTAATTTTATTTATTTATTTATTTATTTATTTGAAACATTATGAGCTCCAAGTTATATCTCCCCCTTTCCCCGAGTCCTCATTCCAGATGGCCAACATTTGAGATACGTTTATACGTGGAACAATGCAATCCATCCTTTCATACATCAGTCCTTTCTCTGGAGCTGAATAAATAGTATTTTCCTTCTAAGTCCTTCTTAGGTGATTTCAATGTTTTGTTACTCACATGATCTCAGGCATTCAGAAGTAGCGTCTTCTTGGTTTTGCTCATTTCACTCTGCATCATTTCATGTCAGTTTCTACGTGGTTTTTTTCCCCATGAAATCAACCTGTCCGTTGTTTTTTATAGCACAGTAGCATTCCATTACAATCATTTACCACAATGTAGTCAGCAACTCCCTAACTGATGGACATCCACTCAATTTCAATTTTTTGCCACCTTTAAGAGAACTGCCTTAAATATTTTGGAAGATAGAGTTTTGTTTTCTTTTTCTCTGATTACCTTGGGATGTAGACCCATTGGTGGTATTGCTAGGTCAAATTGTACTGACACTTTTATACTTCTTTGAACGTAATTCCAAATGGCTTTTCAAAGTGTTTGGGTCAGTTCAGAATTCTGCCAACAGAATATTATTATCTCAATTTTGCACCTTCCCCTCTCACATTTGGCCTTCCCCCATTCTCTCATTTTAGTCAATTTGATACGCATAGGAAACTATCTCATAGTTGTTTTAAATTTCATTTCTTTAATAAATAAGAGAGAAGATACTTTTTCAGCATCGGGGAGGTAGAATAGTCATCAACTCATTGATTTGATTTCTTACTGGGGATATAAGAAAAAATCTATTTAATACTCTTTTGAGGGCAAAATCTCCATGATTGTAGGCCATATTTTATACATTTTTACCATCGCTCCAAGCCTAAGAATAACATGTTATTCCATGTTATGGGATGGGGAAGAACATTTGTCCTAGGTTCTTACCTTCCCACTTAATGGGATAAAATATGTTAGAATGAGACTATATTATTCCTAAGCTTTGCCCACAAGGAGATCAGTTTGTGAATCTGAATCAGGATGTATCCTTGATGACTGGATTACTGGGGACCTGATTAAAATGAAAGTTCAGCACTAGTTATTTTATCTCCTTAGAAAATTGGAGATGAAGGATACAGGAAAGACACTCTGCATATGAAAATTTCTCTTGCCTCCAAGACAAATCAAATGACTGAAAGTCTTGATATCGGTGGGTTTTTTTGTTGTTGTTAGATATCAGGCATTTGAGCGCTCAGTAGATATGGAGGAGTAAATCATTGTTTATCTCCTGGAGTCCTTACTAACACAATACGAGTAAGGAGTAATGCTACCTTTTGCGGTAGATTTCAATGTGAGTAGGTCTCCATGTCCCATTTCTGATTGGATTTTGGCTAGAAAACTTTTTTTCCTTGAACAAGCTCTGGGACACAATTCTTAGCATCAGAAAGACTGAGTAAAGGAATTATTAATGTTTGAGTTGAAGAAGAAGCAAGAGGACATGCAATTATGCTCAAACATTTAAATAACAGGTTCATGAAAAGGCACTAAGGGATTTTCTACTTGAATCAACATGAAATAAATAGGACAAATGCGTGAGTATTCTGAAGAGGCTGATTTAGTTACAAAGTTAAGAAAAAAGGTAGACCTGTCTAAAAGAGAATCTTTTTTCAGGGCACTGAGTTTTCTCTCATTGAAAATTTTCAAGCAGATATTTAGACTTTGCTTGATAGAGATATTGGAGAAAGAATTCTTGATCAGGTAGAGTTTCAGAATTTCCTTCAAAATGTTACATCCCCTAATAGTGTAATTTTGTGGCCTGAAACTATAAATTAAAATTAACAATCATTTATTCATTACTTGCTTTTTGAAAGTTACTGATATTTGCTTGATATATAAATGCAAAAGAGGAAAAGTTCCTACTCTGAAGGAAATTAGATCACCATCGCAGTCTTCTTTATTTTTTTCGTTTAGATCACCTATGGCCCATTTGATCTTCTCCTGACTGATAAGGTCCAGTATCCACATGTCTATCAGATAGGCAGCAGGAAATCCACCCTTCACCTTGCATTCATCCAACTGATGCTCCATTTTGGCTGGACTTGGGTGGGACTGGTTCTTTCAGATAACATGAGAGGGGAAAATTTCTTCAATGATCTGAAAAAGGAGATGGTCATGAATGGCCTGTGTTTGGCCTTTAAGGAAAGTGTACCCCCAAACTTTAGAAGAGATGAAGATTTTGAATTATTTTCTAGGATCATTGCATCATCATCAAATGTGATTTTCATCTATGGAGATACAGACTCCCTGCAAGAACTTTCTACTATATTGGTTCATTTTGTACTTTATGGGAAGGTGATGGTCACCACCTCTTCTTGGGATTTTTCTGATAATTCTAATTTTGAAATGTTTAGCCATTTCCATGGTACAACAATATTTTCTCATACCAAAACAGAGATTCCTGGTTTCACCGACTTTGTAAGAAGCTTGAATTCCAGCATGAACCCTAAGGACATTTTCCTAAAGACCATCTTGGAGATAGTCTTTAATTGTAGACATTCAGAAGAAAATCATATAGAAATGTTATATTCCTTGTGCTCAGAAGCTATTTCCTTGGCAAATTTACCTTCTATAAATTTTGACACAATCATAATGGAACTCAGTTTTAATGTTTACAATGCAGTGTATTTAGTGGCCCATTCTCTCCATCAAATGCTCCAGTCTGAGGCAAAAGAGACATCAGAACTTGGAAGGAACCCATATATTTCTTGGAAGGTAACATTTCTCTTCTACTCTTGGGTTTGGCACAGAGTACTTACAACATTCAACTGTTAGTTTTCTGTTCTATAGATGAAGCAGCAATGACCTGAGACTTCATTACTACCTCTTGTTCTTTAATATTTTTCTGTTTTTATTTCAATTGTGATTCCATTAAATTCTGGGTGAAAACAATAAAATGACCTCAGATAATGGGCATTTATTTCACCTCTGCTACAGCAACCATGGCAAAGTTATTGGTTTTCTTCCTTTTATACATCTCTCTGCAGATGAGTCCGTGTGGCCGGAGAGTTTCATTAAATCTATTCCAACTTAAGTCCTTTACAGAGACCTGAGTCACGACATTGCTAATGCCAAGGTGTTTTATGGGATTTCTAATTGATCAATTTTATTTTAACTTCTATCAACACCTATAGCTGAGCAGAAGAGTTGATATTTGTGCATGGGTGTGGGGTGGGGTACTATCTTAAGTGTTCGGCTTTTTTATGTAGTTTTTTTTATTTTTAAGAGCTAGTTCTGGGGGTTTACATGTTATTGGTGCTTTTAAGATGCTGTTCTCCAGGGAGAAGGGTAATTACTCCTTTTTTTTGTCTGAGATCTGGTCTTTACCCAGCTAGCAACTCTGCTCTTCTATAACTGTAAGCCCTCTACCTTTGAACTGTGACTAGGTCCCCAGCTTCTTTACAATCTCAAGGGCTAGTGCTTTTCTCTGTCATGGAAAGTCTTTGAGGTGAGTTCCTGAAGCTGCTGAACCTGCTGTTGCAGCTGTCTCCAATGACCACTGCTTTTATTTTTACAACGTGCCTTCTGGTTTAGGCCCCAACAAGGTGTCACAGCCCTCTCCATACAACTTTGTGAGTTGTTTTGGGCTGATAAAATGCCTCATCATGACCTTTTCCTGGCTATGCTGCTCCAGAATTTGATTGGATGCATGTTTGAAAGAGAGCATTGAGAGAATTCAGCTGGGTTGCTGCCTCTAGTCTGCCCCCATGGCTCTGCCTGATGAATACTTTTTTAACTTTAATTTTTTAATTTTTTAAATTTATTTTGAATTATCAACAATCACTTCCATAAGTTTTTAAGTTTTAAATTTGTCTCACCCTCCCTTTCTACCTCCTTCACCAAAACGGTACACAATCTGATATAGCCATACAGATATATTCTTATTAAACATATTTTCACATTAGTGATGTTGTAAGAATTACAACCAATAGGAGTAAACACCAGAAAGAAGAAACAAAACAAAACAGAAGAAAAAAATAGCAAATAGTATCCTTCAATCTGCATTCAAATTCCATAGTTCTTTCTTCTTTGTGGATAGCATTTTCAATCATGAGGCCTTTAGAGATGTTTTAGATCCTTGTCTTGCTGAGAAGGGTTGAATTTATCAACATTACTTATCGCACAATGTGGCTGTTTTTGTGTACAACATTCTCCTGGTTTTGCTCACTTCACTCAGCATCAAACTATGCAAGTCTTTCTAGGTTTTTCAGAAGTTAGCCTGCTCATCTTTTCTTACAGCACAATAGCATTCCATTACATTCATATACCACAACTTATTCAGCCATTCCCCAATTGATGGGCATCCTCTCAAATTCCAATTCTTTGCCACCACAAAAAGAGCTGCTATAAATATTTTTGTACACGTGGGTCCTTTTCCCATTTGTATGATCACTCTGGGATATAGCCCTAGAAGTGCTATTGCAGGGCCAAAGGGTATGCACATTTTTGTAGCCCTTTGGGCATAGTTCCAAATTGCTCTCCAAAATGGTTGGATCATTTCACAACTTCACCAACAATGCATTAGTGTTCCAATTTTCCCATATCTTCTCCAGCATTTACCATTTTCCTGTTTTGTCATGTTGGCCCATCTGATAGGTGTGATGTAATATATCAGCATTGTTTTGATTTGCATTTCTCTAATCAATAGTGATTTAGAGCATTTTTTTATATTACTATAGACGGCTTTCATTTCTTCATCTGAGAACTGCCTGTTCATATCCTTTGACCATTTATCAAATGAGGAATGACTTGTATTCTTATAAATTTGACTTAATTCTCCACATATTTTAAAAATGAGGTCCTTATGAGAGAGACTGGTTGTCAAAATTCCTTACCAATTTTCTACTTTCTTTCTAATCTTGGTTGCATTTGCTTTGTGCAAAAACTTTTCAATTTTAATGTAATGAAAGTTATCTACTTTGCTTTTCATAATGTTCTCTATCTCCTGGTTGGTCATGAAATCTTCTGCTGTCCATAAATCTGATAGGTAAACTATTCCTTGCTCTCCCCGTTTGCTTACAGTATCAGCCTTTATATTTAAATCACGAACCTATTTTGACTTTATTTTGGTATTTGGTGTGAGATTCTGATCTATGCCTACTTTCTGCCATACTGTTTTCCAGTTTTCCGAGCAGTTTTTGTCAAAGAATGGGTTCTTATCCCAGAAGCTGCGGTCTTTGGGTTTATCAAATAATAGATTATTATAGTCATTGACTACTGGGTCTTGCATACTTAACCTATTCTACTTATCTACCACTCTATTTCTTTGCCAGTACCAAGTAGTTTTGATGATTGCTGTTTTATTACACAATTTAAGATGATTGCTGTTTTATTACACAATTTAAGATCTGAAATGGCTAGGCCACCTTCCTCTGCCTTTCTTTTCATTAGTTCTCTTGACATTCTGGATCTTTTGTTCTTCCAAATGAATCTTGTTATTTTTTCTAATTCTATAAAATAATTTTTGGTAGTGTGATTAGTATGGCACTGAATAAGTAAATCAGCTTAGGTAGAATTGTCATTTTTATTATATTAGCTCAGCCTACCCACGAGCAACTGATATTTTTCCAACTCTTTAGATCTGATTTTATTTGTGTGAAAAGTGTTTTGTAACTGTGTTCATGTATTTCCTGGTTTTATTTCTGGAGGTAGACTCCTAAATATTTTATAATGTCTACAGTAACTTTAAATGGAATTTTTTTTTCTATCTCTTACTGTTGGGTTTTGATGCTAATATATAGAAACGCCAATGATTTATGTGGGTTTATTTTATATCCTGTAACTTTGCTAAAATTGTTTATTATTTCAAGTAGTTTTTTACTTGATTCTCTAGCATTCTGTAAGTATGTCATCATATCATCTGCAAAGAGTGATAGCTATGTCTCTTCTTTGCCTACTCTAATATCTTCAATTTCTTTTTCTTCTCTTATTGCTAAAGCTAGTATTTCCAGTATGATATTGAACAACAGTGGTGATAATGGACATCCTTGTTTCACCCCTGATCTTATTGGAAATTCTTGTAGCTTATCCCCATTACATATGATGCTTGCTGAAGGTTTTAGATAGATGCTATTTATTATTTTAATGAAGACTCCATTTATACCTATGCTCTCCAGTGTTTTTAATAGGAATGGGTGCTGTATTTTGTCAAAAGCTTTTTCTGCATCTATTGAGATGATTATGTGGTTTCTATTAGTTTTGGTGTTGATATGATCAATTATGCTGATAGTTATCCTAATAACGAACCAGCCCTGCATTCCCAGTATAAATCCTACCTGGCCATAATGTATTATGTTTATGGTAAGTTGCTCTACTCTATTTGCTAATATTTTATTTAAAATGTTTGCATCTATATTCATTAGAGAAATTGGTCTATAATTTTCTTTCTCTGTTTTGACTCTTCCTGGTTTAGGTATCAGCACCATATTTGTATCATAAAAAGAATTTGGTAAGACTCCTTCTTCACCTATTTTCCCAAATAGTCTATATAGTATTGGAATTAATTGTTCTTTAAATGTTTGATAGAATTCATTTGTAAATCTATCTGGCCCTGGAGATATTTTCCTAGGGAGTTCATCAATGGCTTGTTCCATTTCTTTTTCTCTTTTTTTTGGGGGGGGGGGCTAGGCAATGAGGTTAAGTGACTTGCCCAGGGTCACACAACTAGTAAGTGTTATGTGTCTGAGGCCAGATTTGAACTCAGGTCCTCCTGAACCCAGGGCCGATGCTCTATCCACTGCACCACCTAGGTACCCCTCAATTTCTTTTTCTGACATGGGGTTAAGTATTTTACTTCCTCTTCTGTTAATCTGGGCAATTTATATTTTTGTAAATATTTAAATATTTCACTAAGATTGTCAAATTTATTGGCATATAGTTGGGAAAAATAGTTCCTAATTATAGTTTTCATTTCCTGTTCCTCGGTGGTGTATTCACTCTTTTGATTCTTGATACTGGTATTTGGATTTCTTCTTTTTTTCATTAAATTAAACAAAGGTTTATCTATTTTATTGTTTTTTTTTTCATAAAACCAGCTCTTAGTTTAATTTATTAGTTCAATAGTTTTCTTAATTTCACTTTTATTAATTTTTTCCTTTGGTTTTCAATACTTCTAATTTGGTGTTTAATTGAGGATTTTTAATTTGTTCTTTTTCTAGTTTTTTTTCTTAGTTGTATGCCCAATTCATTGATCTCTTTTTCCATTTTATTTATGTAAGCATTTAGAGATCTAAAACTTCCCTTAAGAACTGCTTTCACTGCATCCCATACGTTTTGGTATGTTGTCTCATTATTGTCATTCTCTTTAATGAAGTTATTGATTGTTTCTATGATTTGTTGTTTTATCCAAACAATTTTTAGGATTAGATTGTTTAGTTTCCAATTATTTTTCAGTCCATCTTTCCTTGGCCCTTTATTAAATATAATTTTTATTGCATTATGATCTGAAAAGGGGTCATTTAATATTTCTGCCTTTCTGCATTGAATTATGAGGTTTTTATGCCCTAGTACATGGTCAATTTTTGTGTATGTGCCAGGTACTCCTGAGAAAAAAAGTATATTTCTTTCTATCCCCATTCATTTTCTCCACATGTTCATCAACTTTTCTAATATTCTATTCACCTCCTTAACTTCTTTCTTTTTTATTTTTTGGTCAGATTTATCTAGTTCAGAGAGGGGAAGGTAAGGTCCCCCACTAGTATAGTTTTGCTGTCTAT